GCTGTTTCACACCTTAATGTGTAAATAACGCTTTATTATTTACCTGCTACCACAGTCTGGGCATTGTGATCTGTAATAAGGACTTGAGGCATGTTAAAAAAAGAAGCCCAACAAGACTTTGACACGTGGGTTAACATTTGATGTAGAGTCAGAACACATTACCCTGGTGGCTGTTGGTGTCAAGTTTGTTTTTAAGTAAATCTGGCAAATAAGTTACTTTCCTGATCCCCTCAATTATCTCTTTACCAATTTTCCAAATTGTCTGGCAACATAAACTCTAGAATTTTAGCAGTGTGAGAACTTTGCTGTAAGGTTATAGCAGAAAAATAGACTTGGGCATTTAGAACATTTTTTTGTTTGCCTGAAAAATTATTTTGTTTGGGCGATTCTGGGAAATTTTGTTCTTGTAATAATTTTGTGGAAAACGATTCGGATGAACTAACATCGTGCAAAAATGGCATGTGAAGCAACTAAAATTTTAATGATGTGCTTATCAATGAATGTCATGCCACTTTCTCACTAGCTATAAAGTATTTTCACAGTTTGTTGTCATAGTTTGTCATAGTTTAATGGCAGTCTGTTTTCCATTAAAGGGACTGCCCAGATACAAAATAAATAAAAATCACTGATTAGTAGATATACTACCAATGAAACAAGCATGCATTTAATTTTTTTTTTTTATCAAGGTATATCTATCAACATATTGCAAAAGCTGCAGTTCTCTTGTCTGCAGCATTGCAAACCCCTCCCCTTCTAACCCTGCCCACACTTACTGTGGCTGTCCAATCACAGACTTCCCAATGCAGCTCAATGAGAAGTCTTTGCAAGGTGGGTGCTCTGGGTTATTGCTGCCTCTTCGGGTTAGCTCCACTGAGCTAACTAAACCAGGAAGTAACAGAAGTGGTTGTCTGATTGAAAGCCAGGGGGGGGGGTGTTAATTTATTAGTGTCAATTTCTATTGAAATCTGCACTTGTAAGATACAAAATAGGATACATGCTTAAGTTGTTTTAGGGGTCTGGAGTGTTCATTTAAGGAACACAATACCCAGGAATTGACTCCCTAATTGTTTTAATACACATCTTGATCTAGAGCTTGATCCCTATTTTGGGGGCTGTATGCAGTGAAATGCCTAGCTGCCATCCTCACATGTGAGCAGCTGTGAAAAGCTGTGGCTTTGCTCTATTTGTGCATATGGAGTGTTCATGCCACATAGGCATGCGTGAAGAATCTTACAAGGCAAATGAGGAAGCAAAAATTGCTCTATTGACACCTGAGAGTCAAGGTGTAGTCTTACAACTGACGTAATCTTTGCAAATCTCTGCCATTACAAGCCACTCTTAGCAAGGATACTGGACGCAGAGTATTCTTTACTATTATGCTAAGTCGTTATGGTACTTAGAGAGACCGTTTTTGATTACAGAGAGGCGTAGATTTTCGGTTTTAATTGAGTCCCAACATTGGGTGGGCAGGCCCTGGGGGGCATTCTAAGGAATGCATCCTGTGTCATTAGTGACGCCTATTCTGGATGGGCCAGACGGGAAAGGTACAGACCCACACATCGCAAAGGGGTGTGTCAGCCTTGTGTCAGTACATACCTGACTGATCTACAGTCTCCAGGTCGGCACTTTCTGTATCGTCCCAGTGCCCACCACAGAGCTTCTAATAATACGGTGGTGCTGTGCTACTTAGGGACAGGTCCTTGGAGTCCCTGGATTTGGGACACCAGTGAACAAAATTTAAACAAAATAAGGATGGAGGGACAGAACCCTAAAGTAGGGACTGTTGCACCAAACTCAGGACAGTTGGGATACCTGGATACTGGATTATTCTAACTTCAGTTTGGTTTATTCAAAATGTAGTATTCACAGGAGACCTTACACATTGCTTGAGTTTTAAAGTAGAACTCGTTATACAGTGTACATATCCATAATCAAGTCCATATCCTTTAACTTCGGAACTTAGAGAATGGACAAGATAGAAAATTTCACATATCGTTGTTTAATCACCATTGTTTACACCTTCTGAGTGGCTGAGTCGAGGAGCACAGAATCGTGTATTGAAAAGTAATAGAGATGTGCGGAAAACACACAAGAGTCATGTTCCCACATAATAATTTTTACAAACTCTCCTTAGTATTTCCTGTAAACATTTACAATAACATTACAGGTACATCGAACTTCAAGTAGCTTTATCTCACCTGGACATGATCCAGGCATTAACCAGCAAACCAGCAGCACACAACAGAGATAGAAAACAAGTTCATTGTACTTTTGGGCGAACGATCTCATATCTAGAAATAGAACAAGGGACCCGACCGTCCATATTACAGATTTAATAAATATATTTCTCTGCAACTGCTAGGTAATTAATTCAGGGCTTCCAAATGCCCCGCTTTGGTGGGACAGTCTCTATTTTGGGGTCCCAATGTCCTGATTTAGTCTCCAGGGACACATGAACATGTCCCCGGATAGCACCAGTGGCGGATCCAGAGCCTGATCTTGGGAAGGGCACTTGTAGATTATTTAAAGAAATAATCCAGACACAACAACCACTACAGCTCAGTGTAGTGGTTATGGTGTCAATAGTGCCGGGACCCTCTCCCAGAGTAAGTAGTCAAACCGTTTAAGAACAGTTTGACAACTTACTTGAGGTCTGCTGAGAAATGGGGCTGTAGTAGGGCATAGGAGCAGTGGTGTGTGTGAGTGGTACAATGTGTAAGGGGTGCAGTGTGTGTGTGTGTGTGTGTGAGGGGGACAGTGTGCGAGCAGTGTGTGTGTGTGAAGGTTGTAGTGTGTGAGTGAGGGAGGGCGGCAGTGTATGTCAGGGATGCAGTGTATGTGTGGGACAGTATGTGTGCGTAACAGTTGCAGTGTGTGTGTGTTAGTATTGCAGTGTATGTGTGAGTGTGGGCAATGTGTGTGTATGGGGCGGCAGTGTATGGGGGCAGTGTGTGTGTATGGGAAGCAGTGTGTGTGTATGGGGGTAGTGTATGTGTGTAGAGTGTGTGTGTATGTGGGACAGTGTGTGTGTATGGGCATTATGTGTGTATGGGGGAGCAGTATGTGTGTATGTGGGGGCCAGTATGTGTGTATAATGGGGCAGTATGTGTATGGGGCAGTGTGTGTGTGGGGGCAGTGTGTGTGTATGGGGGCAGTGTGTGTATATGGGGGAGCAGAATGTGTATGGGGGAGCAGTATGTGTATGGGGGGAGCAGTGTATGTGTATGGGGGCAGTATGTGTGTATGGGGGGCAGTGTGTGTGTATGAGGGGGCAGTGTGTGTGTGTGTGTATGGGGGCAGTGTGTGTGTGTGTGGGGCAGTATGTGTATAGGGAGCAGTATGTGTATATAGGGGCAGTGTATGTGTATAGGGGCATGTGTGTATGGGGGGCAGTATATTGTGTATATGGGGGCAGTGTGTGTGTGTATAGGGGCAGTGTGTATAGGGGGCAGTGTGTGTGTGTGGGGCAGTGTGTGTGTGTGACAGGGGCTGTATGTGTGTATGGGGGGCAGTGTGTGTATGGGGCAGTATGTGTGTGTATTGGGGGCAGTATGTGTGTATGAGAACGGTATGTGTGTATGGGGGCAGTGTGTGTGTATGGAAGTATGTGTGTATTGGGGCGGTAGCTATGTGTGTGTATGGGGGCAGTATGTGTGTATGGGGGCAGTGTGTGTATGGGGGCGGTATGTGTGTATGGGGGTAGTGTGTGTATGGGGGTGGTGTGTGTATATGGGGGCAGTATGTTGTTTATTGGGGGCAGTATGTGTATATGGGGCAGTGTGTGTGTGTGTGTATGGGGCAGTGTGTGTGTATGCGGGGGGCAGTGTGTGTGTGTATGGGGGCAGTATGTGTGTATAGGGGGCAGTATGTGTGTATGGGGCAGTGTGTGTGTGTATGGGGGGCAGTGTGTGTGTATGGGGGGAGTGTATGTGTGTAGAGTGTGTGTGTGTGTGTGTGTGATAAGGGTAGGGAGGCTTTTTTTTATAATATATATATAATTTTTATTTAATTAAAATAAATATTTATGTCCCCCCTCCCTTCTTACCTTTACTGGGAGAAGGGTGGACTCTTCTTAGTCCCTGGTGGTCCGGTGGGGATTCCCTGGTGGTCCCAGTGGGGAGAGTGAACTCTAGCCCGCGCTCCAGGGCTAGAGTTCACTCTCGCGAGATTTGGAGCGTTGCCCCATTGCCCCCCCCTGGATCCGCCACTGGGCAGCACAGCATGAGTGCATGAATTGAGATGCTCACTCAGTGTGGCAGGCACTAGGAATAGCCATCCAGCTGACACAGTGACGGAATTTAACCACGCATGGGGTAATCATAAGACTAGATGGGCCAAATGGTTCTTATCTGCCATCACAGTCTATGTTTCTATGTATATTTTCATTTTCACAGTTCCTGTTCCTGTTCCTGTAAAGGATCTTAACATGTATAGTTTGGAGGAAAGACGAGACAGGGGCGATATTATTATTATTATTATTATTATTATTGGTATTTATATAGCACCAGCTTATTCCGCAACACTTAACAATAAAAGGGGAATTTACCAAATGAGACAATAACAAAATGTAACAGGAACAATAGGTAGTTGAGGACCTTGCTCTAACGAGCTTACAGTCTAGAGGAGGAGGGGTATAAAAACACAATAGGAAGGGAATTGAGGGAGACAGCAAATAGACATGGATATGAGAGAAACATATAAATACATAAAGGAAATCAACACAATAAAGGAGGAGACCATATTTAAAAGAAGAAAAGCTACCACAACAAGAGAACATATTACTTTACCGAGAGGGTAGTGGATGCATTTTATTATCAATTTGTTTTAATTATTTGCCTATCATTCCTCTAGAAGAATTTGAAAGCTTATAAAAGCTGTAGGCCAAAACATATTCATCTAGAGCAGGGGTTCCCAAATAATTTTTCCCATTGAACCCTTTGGCATAGTGTATCAACATTGTGGATCCCCACCCCTTCTCCCCTCAGAAAAAAAAGCACAGTTTTCTGTATGTGCCGGTGTGTGTCAAGGTGTGTAAATATGTGTTTGTATGTGCCAGTGTGTGTATCTCTGTGTCAATGTGTAACTGTGTGTGTGTATGTTTCTGACACACAGATTCACACACACATACACACTGGCACACAGATACACACACCTTGACACACAGTGTGTATATGTGTGTGTGTGTATCTGTGTGTCAAGGGGTGTGTGTGTGTCAAGGTGTGTGTATCTGTGTTTGTATGTGCCAGTGTGTGTATCTGTGTGTCAATGTGTAACTATGTGTGTGTATGTATCTGACACACAGATACACACACACACACACACACACACACTGGCACACAGATGCACACACCTTGACACACAGTGTGTATCTCTGTGTGTGTGTATATATGTGTGTTAAGGTGTGTGTGTGTCAAAGTGTGTGTATCTGTGTGTGTATGTTTCTGTGTGTCAAGGTGTGTGTGTATATGTGTGTCAAAGTGTGTGTATCTGTGTTTGCATGTGCCGGTGTGCGTCAAGGTGTGTAAATATGTATTTGTATGTGCCAGTGTGTGTATCTCTGTGTCAGTGTGTATCTGTGTGTGTGTGTATGTATCTGACACACAGATACACACGCACACACTGGCACATATTGGCACATAGATACACACAGATTTTTTTTTTAACTTATACTACCCCAAAATAGATGTTTGCCTTTTAGGCGGCCGTTTAGAACTGGTTTTACTGGTTTTGAAGATGTACATTCGTGTGAAAGTTTATAGATTTAGTAAAACATGTTTGCACAGGTCACATATATCCTTAAAATGCATTTTAGTGTAGGTTATGTATAAATAGCAATTCTGGGACAACTGTCACTTTACAACATTTTTTTTACATAATAATCCATTCATGAAGTTTTATAAGGAAATTGATTTTCTATTAAATAATGTACATGTAAAAAAAAAAAAGGGAAAACTCATCCCTACCTTTAGTATATGACAGAAGTCTTCAACCATGTACATTCACCTTTGGTCAGACAGTGTTTGGAAATCAGTAAATATGGGATTATTCACTGAAACTCAAATGGCCCAACACTAAAATCCAGTAAAGTGTTAAATATATTGCTGCTGCCCAGCACTTGCTAGTCAACCTTATTATCTAGTTAAAAATAAATAATACATCTAAAGCCTATGGTGGTCATCATTAAGACCTCCATGTTATTATAAGAGATGTTTAAAACTGACAGACACGCACACTCACTGACAGACACGCACACACACACTCACTGACAGACACACACACACACAGTCACTCACTGACCACATTCACTGACAAACACATTGACAGATAAACGCACACAGTTTCACTGACAGACACACACACACACACTCATTGACAGACACACACACACACACACACACACACACACTCATTGACAGACACACACTCACACTTACTGACAGACACACACACGCTCATTGACAGACAAACACACACACACACACACACACACAGGGGTTATGGGGTTAATATTTATTAGGACTGGGTAAAGGGTGGTTGGATTTTCTTAACTTTTTTGAAACGTTATTAAAACATTTAAAAAAAATTTAGAAACATTTTAAAGCTCTTTTAACTTTAACCCCTAGCTAGCCTAACACCAACTTCCACCCGCCCCAGCTATCTAAATATATAATTTTAAAATATTTAAATTAATCAATAAAATAAATTTAACCCCTGAGGGTTAAAAAAATAATTTAACTCTCAGGGGTTAAAAAAAAGTAATAATCAGATGACAGTAAAATGTAGTCCCTGCCAATTGATCACTGTAGTCAGTGATACATTGGCCTGGAAGGGGTTCATTTTATTAAAGTGGGGGTGGGATATAACTTAAACTTATTTTTTTTTACGGGGAGAAGCAGATCATCACTGATCCGTCTCCCTGCACTTCACACTGACCGCGGAAAAGTTAAATTATTAAGTTCCCATGAAAGATGCAGGACATCACACATGTACGTTTATATTAGGCCCTCACTTGGCCTTCCACAACATATGCTTCATATGGCCCTCAGTGGGCATCTTACTATGATCAGTGCCATGTTACTCAAGTGTCTTTTCATTATCATCTCTAATTAACAGTTCTACCATTCGGGCCTCTCACAGGTCAAGTTGGTTAATTACACGTTATGATATGAAGCAGGTATGCAAATTTGGCATCACTATGTAAATTGCAACTGCTCCACTGGTCAACAACCATTAACCAACCAACGTCATATCACTTCATACACGCAGAAATTCTGCCCTTAAATGGATAAATCGCTACTCATGAATCGCAATGAGCTCTCTCTGCCTTCTACTTCTATACCTTGACAGACGGACCTCACTAGGCCTTCACTTACATAGGCTTCATACGGTCCCAGGTGGGCTTACAGCTACAACTTAATTTTGCCCTTCCTGTCGCTTGGGGGTTATATATTGCCCTATTATACTGCGTTTAAGTACACCACTCACTGCAGAAATAAAAATAAATAAACTAAACCAGATCGAATACCAGAGTATCACTACTGTCAATACGCAATTCAGTGGCGTATTTAGCCCAAGGCAAACTAGGCATTTGCCTTGGGCGGCACTAACAAGGGGGCAGCAAAAATTTGCCACCCCCAAACACCCACTTGGGAGTACCCGGTGGCCTTCCTGTGATGGGGGTCCCAGGGCAGGCCTGTTGGCCACCTTAATGGACCCCCCCCACGACGTACCGCTGTATTGACATACAAGGCGGCGAGGAAGCTTTCATGTCTCTGTTCTGCTCCCTTGCGTGCCGTTTGCTGATGCCGCAGAAGCCGGAATATGACGTTATAGTCATTATAGCAGAGCAGGGACATGACAGCTCCCTCGCCGCCTCGTATGTCAATACAGCCGCCCGCCTCACAGCAGCCCCACTGGACCCCCCAACGACAGGTAGGAAGGCTGGGTAAAAAAAAAGTATTATAATAATAATAATTAGTTAGTGTGTGTTTCTGTGAGTGTGTCTGTGTGACTGAGTGTGTGTGAGTGTATGTATGAGTGTATCTGTCAGTGTGTGTGTGTGTCTGTGTGTGTCTGTGAGTGTGCATATGAGTTTCTGTGAGTATATGAAGTGGTGTATTTTGGTTTGGTGCTGCCCTAGGCATGACTAAACCTGGGTACCCCCCTAATCTAATTTTCCCCACCCCTTCCAGTCAAAGCCACACCTCTTCCTGATTAAGAATCCACCCCTTCCTCTTTAGACTCCACCCTTTTAAAGCGATACTACAGTGCCAGAAAGGTTTTCCTGGCACTATAGTTCCATATAGTGCCCCCCTCCCTCTTGCTCTCCCCACTTACTCGGCACTTCAGTCACTTACCTGAATCCAGCACTGATGTCCCTCAGCGCTGGGTCAGTCTCCTACTACGCGCTTGCATTACGCTTCACCATAGGAAAGCATTGTATCAATTCTTTCCAATGAGGATTTAGCAGACGCTGGATGTCCTCATACACAGAGTAAGGACGTCCAGCATCAGTTAGGTGACTTTTGGTCGCCTAACCACCCGGAAAGAGTTAACCCCTCAAGGTAATTATTGAAATAAATCAGTGATGTTATCAAAGAGGTTTTATAAAAGTACTGATGTCTCTTGAAAAAAAGTCATGCTTTTACTTCTGAAGCACAGGAAACCTTGAAGTTCTTTAGGGGTATGGAGTGGACATATGCATTTATTAGATGAACTAATCGATTTGTTTGGCATCTAATCATTTAGTCTGAAACAAATCCTTTTGATTAATTTTTAAATAAATCAATTATTTCAGTCAGATATGTGCGAATTCTAAATTCGAACCATGAACAAAAACGTCCATTAAAATGAATTGAAAGATTGAGTTGCTAGACAACTTGATTTGTTTATGGATGCACATGCCTAATTTGGAATGTTCCTTTAACTCAATAAATACCTACACACCGGTATGTATAATATCAACCTTTCTATAAGGTGAAATCTATGACATTAAAATATTATGTATCACAAACATAAAGGAACATAGAGTCGCATTTCAAAAATTTAAGGGACACTCCACTGACCACTTATGATTAGGATAGCCTTATGCCTATCCCACGCATGTGTAAACTCCTTTACTGTGTTAACCTCTACCACTTCAGCTGGAAGGCTATTCCATGCATCCACTACCCTCTCAGTAAAGTAATACTTCCTGATATTATTTTTAAATCTTTGCTGCTGTTTTTAAGACTATGTCCTCTTGTGGTGGTAGTTTTTCTTTTTTTAAATATAGTCTCCTCCTTTATTGTGTTGATTCCCTTTATGTATTTAAATGTTTCTATCATATCCCCCCTGTCTCGTCTTTCCTCCAAGCTATACATGTTAAGATCCTTTAACCTTTCCTTGAAAGCTTTATCCCGCAATCCATGAACCAGCATACCAGCCCTTCTCTGAACTCTCTCTAAAGTATCAATATCCTTCTGGAGATATGGTCTCCAGTACTAGAGTTATATCTAAAACCTGCTTGCAAAAGTTGCAGTTCTTTTGTCTGCTGCCTTTGCAAGTCTTCCCCTTCTAACCACGCCTAGAATTTGAGTGACTGTCAATTCACAGACTTCCCAAGGTAACTTAATGGGAAGTCTTTGCAAAGCAGGTGCTCTAGGCTATTGTTGCCTCTTGATTTTAACTTAACTGAGCTAAACAACCAGGAAGTAACAGGACCAGTTTTTGATTGACAGTCACGGGGGTGTAACCTGGTTAATTTATAAAAGTGCCAATTTGTATTGAAATCTGCACTTTTTGAAAAATGAAAAAATGAGGGCACACTCTTTACACGTAATACATGTTAGGAAGCCAAAGTGTTTTAGGGGTCCCTTTAAAGATGCTATGTATGAGGAAAGAGGAATCCTGGCAATTTAACGGTTAAATGTTCAAACAAAAGGGAAACATATCGATTGTTTTTTTGCATCAACCGTGGCTGTGAACGAAAACGCTGGTTCATACTGTAGTCAAATCCGACAAGCATGGAGTTGAAAGCATTTTTCCAGGTGTGACTAATGATCTCAGTATTAAAATAAAAAGAAATCACTTTGTACTCTTAGAAATAACCACTGTTTGAATATTGCGGCTGAATATTCTCACTCCTGCTTTCCTTGCAAATGAACCCACGGATGTTGAGACAGTTTATTTGAATATTCAGGACTATAGAGATTTGCCTCTGTGATGTCATCATT